GCTTTTAGGATGGGTACATTTCACTAAAGGCCTTGGCACACCTAGCAAGGTGTGCCAAGGCACACCTAAGTATTTGCGGAGGCCAGAGGCCTAGAGCTCACTAACCAAGAACTCGACAGGGATACGACACCCCAATAATATCATGATCAAGCCAATTAATAAGTCCTACTGGTGGCGATGGTAACATATGCAAACCAACCGAGGAGGAGGCCGCCATGCTCGCTAGGTGATCAGCAGGTGATCAGTAGCAAAATTAGCTTCTGTGTGATATGCTAAAGCCGCACGGTCCACTCTCGCTGCATAAGGCTACGGATAGCCTTAACCATCACATCGTGGGAACCAAATGAACCGTCGGGGCTAGCCACCATACAAGCCACGCACTGGCCATCCACCTCGACCATAACTTGTCGAAACTCCATGTCCCAAGCCAAGACCCTGAAAAAGCCCCCAGAGCTCGGCGCCCGTAATAGTGCAAAAGCCTATATTCAAAAGGAACCCCGCGATCCACGCTCCTAGCTCATTGCGAATAAGTCCTCCCGCTGAGCCTAAGCCCGTTACCTTGTCAAAGGCACCATCCGTATTTAATTTGATCCACCCTGAGTCTGGCGCCGACCAAAAGATCCACCGCTTAATATACGATGGTGCTCCAACTTTTAGATACTCAGCCGCGACCCGCCCAAAGTGACCGGCAAGTGAAATCGCCTCCCCTCGCCTCGCCTCGCTGCTGCTCGTACGACTATTAAATATCTGTTCGTTTCGCCACTTCCATGCACGCCCAATCACAATAGGGAATAACGTCGGCCAATGAGTACACGCTCCCATACTCATCCGTGATAGGTTAGAATGCATCCATTGTGAGATGGGGGCTTGAAAGAAATCTCCTTCCTAGCCCTCTGGAATCAAATAGTCCCAAACAGGTTTCATATATTTACAATCACGCAATACATGAATCAGTGTCTCGCTTTCACCACAAAAATCGCATGCTTCCCCTGCTGATAAATGCCTCCGAACTCGCTCCACATTGGTGAGAAGTTGACCCCGGGCCACGAGCCAAAGAAAGGTACGAGCCCGCTGTGGTATAGGCGCGCGCCAGATCTTTTTCCACAAGGACTGATCGTGAGGAACACCCGGCCGAGCAAGAGCCTTATAAGCCGATGATGTCGAGAATTTTCCGTCGTCCGAGAATCCCCAAATTATTCGGTCGGCACCAGCCGATTCAGACGGAGGGAGGGTGCCCGCTATACATAATATGACAGAGGAAGGGAGGAGCCCGTGAAACCGATCCCATTGCCACCTGCCATGTTCGTCCACAAATTCAGCAACCCGGGCTTGGAGGTTTATGTTACTCGGCAGGTGATTCAAATACCCAACTAGCGGTCCCAACGAGCTAAGCTAAGGGTCAGTCCAAAAATGGATTCTTTCACCATCTCCTAGACGCCAGCGCACTCCGCGTAACAGAACCGGCCATACTGATCGAAAGCTCCACATCAAGCCCGAGGATCGATGCCGCCTAGGGAGCTTGAAGTTATCCGCAAATTGCAACCCGTACTTGGCCTTCAAAACGCGCACCCACAAGGCTTTCGAGTTCGTTAGTATCCCCCAACCCACTTTCATAAGGAGTGCACTATTCATTCGGCGAAGGTCCTTGATGCCCAAACCTCCCTCATTCTTTGGGGCGCAAACATCATCCCAGGCTACTAAATGGAGTTCTTTCTTTCATTTGTACGACCCCAGATAAAGTCTGGTTCCGTATCTCCAATCCGACAGTGGTCGCACCTGGGAGTCGAATGGATTGCATCGAATAGAAGGGTAACATATTGAGAACGGACTGAGTGAGAGTTACCCTTCCCGCCAGTGATAACGTCTTCATCCTCTAGCCATTAAGTCGAGCTTCCGCTTTTTCCAGAATATGCGCATACGTATGTTGCGACACACGCCCATGGTGAAGGGAAACTCTGAGATACTTACCCAAGCTGTCGGTGAGGGTGAAATTAAGGCTAGTAGCCAAACTCGTTTGGTCCTGAGGCTTCACATTCGTAGCAAAGAATATATGTGTTTTTTCCTGACTCACTATAAGGCCCGAAATAGAACAAAAGTGATCTAGGGCGTGCTTGAGGACTCCCGCTTGGTCCTCTGATGCTTCCAAAAAAAGAAGTAGATTATCTGCGAACATCAAAAACGGGACTCCGGCAGCCCCTCTCCCTACTGAAATCGGTTTCCACACTGAGTGCTCTACCAACCTGCTAATATGTTGTGCCAATCTCTCCATACATAGAACAAAAAGGTACGGGGAGATGGGGTCCCCTTGGCGTACCCCTCGAGTGGGCCGAAACTCCTCGCCCACAGCCGCATTCCACAGCAGAGCCATCGAAGCCGACGTAATGCATGCCATGACTGCCACAACCATTTGCTCAGGATAGCCAGCAAGCCAGAGAGTCTCCTCAATGAAGTCCCACCGAAGATAATCGTAAGCCTTCTCAAGGTCGACCTTAATAACCATGTACCCCGTACTTCCTTTCGACCCCCGCATTGAATGGATTAGCTCTTGCGCAGACAAAGCTGGCTTGGGCTGGGTGGATCAAATCAGACAAATTCTGTTGCATGCGATTGACCAAAATTTTCGTGAACAGCTTGTAGATCACATTAAGTAGGCTAATGGGCCGAAACTGTCTAATAGTGGTAACGTTATCAATTTTAGGAATAAGAATGAGCAAGGTCCAATTCACCTCACTTGGTACATCACCATCACGCCACATCTTCCTAATGAACTCACGGACTGTCGGGCCAACCACATCCCAATTTTTCTTATAGAAGAAAGCATTCAACCCATCGATGCCCGGGGCCTTTAAATCGCCCATGTGCTGCAAAGCTAGGAACACCTCCTCGTCCGTAATATTCTCCCCCATGGCCTGCATCTCTATTACGTCACTTATCGGGAACAGGCTAGGTGATGCCTGGCCTTGGTCGGGAACCGGGCCAGCCGTATAAATATTCTTGAAAAAGGTCATTGCTAATTCCCATAGGGAATCTGGGTCGGTCACTGGATTACCATCATTGTCTAGCAACTCGGTTATCTTGCTACGATGACGGCGGGACTTCAGTTGCCTGTGATAAAAGGAAGTGTTTCTGTCTCCCAAGAATGCCCAGTCCCGAGAAGATTTCTGCATTAGTAATAGCTCCTCTTGCCTTATGACATCCTCCAGTTCCTCTCTAAGGTTCTTCTCGAGGGTCACCATACGGTCATTAATGTAGAATTGGCGACAGCGCTGAATACCCCCAATTCTGGCCAATAATCTCTTCTTCCGGTGAAAAATATTGCCGAAGACCCGGAAGTTCCACTCCTTAGCCGACACCACAAAACGGTTGGCCGCCTCCTCGAACGCAAGGGAAGGCTGCCACGCATCTTTCAACATATCGGTGAATCCCGGATGAAGGAGCCAAGCAGCCATGAAGCGAAAAGATTTGGTCCCTCTCGGTGGCTGTGGCAAGCGACCGAAATCTACCATAATGGGCGCATGATCGGAATTGACTCTCGGAAGGAGGCGTGAACGGCTCGACTCATACTTATCAATCCAATCCATATTTGCGATGAAGCGATCAACTTTCTCAGCAACCCGCCCATTCTGACCGTCTCGAAACCCTGTGAAAAGGTGCCCGTCGGTGGGAACCTCTTGGAGGCTATTATTAAAAATCCAGTTGGCAAACTCACTGCTAATGTTACAAAATCTCGCTGAATCCCCTAACTTCTCGGACCGACGGAGGAGGCAATTAAAATCACCCCCGATCAACCAAGTCTTAGAAATATGAGATCCCAAACTCTCCAGATCATTCCACAACTTCTTTCGTCCAGAAGCCTGGGGGCTAGCATACACAAAAGAGATAAGGCAACTCTCGTTGTTTTTAGTGATACGCGTATGGACTAATTGTCGCGTATACATCAGCACATCCACCCACACTTCATCATTCCACAAAATCAACAAACCCCCAGCAAAACCTTGTGCTTCAATCCGGAACGAATTCTCAAATTTACTAAATCGAATGAAGTTTTCGGCATGAGCACCACTAATGCGAGGTTCAAATAGAGCTATAACATCTGGGTTATGCTGTTGCACTAGAGAAGAGAAGGAGCCCCGAAAAACGGGCGAACCTGCCCCCTGAACGTTCCATGTGATTACATCCATTTGTACAACTAGCAGTGGGGGAGACGACCAATTTAGGCCAGATCCTAGATATGCGAGTCTGAGACCGCATCCATGTTCATGTGATGGCTAGACTCGCCATGGCATCCGTCTGAGAACCTCTGCGAATTTGGGTCCTCCGGCCACGGCTCTTGTCTACCATTAAGCTGTTCACCTTTCACCATAATGTCATCGCAGGCCGAGTTAAAGATGTGAAATGGGTGAGGCGAAAGGGCCTGTGGTGTTCGCTCTGGGTCATCTTCCACGAGAACAACTTGGTGTTTAGTCGGGTCGAGCCCAGCTCCAAGTCGAATGTCACCAGATCCAGCAGAGGCACGGGGTGGGGTCCTACTGTCGCTCGATATTGATCCCTTAACTTGCTCTTGTCCTCCACCAGTTCGAGGGGTGGTGCTACGTAATGTACCTGAGACT